ACAGGTCAGCTTGGCCTTTCTTGGGCAGCGCTGCTCCAGGTGTGACCCAAAACCAGCAGCGGCAGCAGCAGCAGCCCAAGCTGTGAGACCACAAATTCTCCGGCCCTACCCCAGACCTGAAGCAGAAACTCCATTTGTTTTTGTTTTTGTTTTGTTTTGTTTTGTTTTTGAGACAGAGTCTCGCTCTGTCGCCCAGGCTGGTGTGCAGTGGTGCCATCTTGGCTCATCACAACCCTCCGCCTCCCGGGTTCAAGCGATTCTCCTGCCTCAGCCTCCCAAGTAGTTAGGACTACAGGCATGTGCCACCATGCCCGGCTAATTTTCGTATTTTCAGTAGAGATGGGGTTTCGCTATGTTGGCCAGGCTGGTCTCGAACTCCTGACCTCAGATGATCTGCCCATTTTGGCCTCCCAAAGTGCTGGGATTACAGCTGTGAGCTACTGTGCCCGGCCAGAAGGCTCCATGTTTTAAGGAGCCCTGGGCCGGATGCGGTGGCTCATGCCTGTAATCCCAGCATTTTGGGTGGCCGAGGTGGGTAAACCACCTGACATCAGGAGTTCGAGACAAGCCTGACCAACGTGGAGTAACCCTGTCCCTACTAAAAATACAAAATTAGCCAGGCATGGTGGCACATGCCTGTAATCCCAGCTACTCTGGAGACTGAGGCAGGAGAATCCCCTGAACCTGGGAGGTGGAGTTTGCGGTGAGCAGAGGTCATGCCATTGCACTCCAGCCTGGGCAACAAGAGCGAAACTCCATCTCAAAAAAATTAAAAAATAGGTTAGGCACGGTGGCTCAAGCCTGTAATCCCAGCACTTTGGGAGGCTGAGGTGGGCAGACCACAAGGTCAGGAGTTTAAGGCCAGTTTGGCCAACATGGTGAAACCCTGTCTCTACTAAAAATACAACAGTTACCTGGGCACGGTCACACGCGCCTGTAATCCCAGCTACTCGGAGCTGAGGCAGGAGAATTGTTTAACACAGACCTGGGAGGCGGAGGTTGCAGTGAGCTGAGGTCACACCATTGCACTCCAGCCTAGGCTACAGAGCAAGGCTCCGTCTCTGAATGAATGAAGGAAGGATGGAAGGAAGGAAGGAGCTCTCTGGGTAACTCTGATGTTCCCTGAAGCTTGCTGAACCCTGTCCTGGAATTTCCAGGGGGAAGAGATGGGGATGGGGCAGCATATGTGGGATGGAGTGTCCCGCTGGTGGGGCTCACGGGAAGGCATGCCCTGGGATAGACAGAGTCGTCCATAGAGTGTGGTGAACATTTGCTGGCCCCTCTCCTCTCATCACTCCTCTTCTGTGTCCCCCCACCTGACCACAGTGGATACCGATGCTGTGTGGCTGCTCCAAGGCTGGCTCTTCCAGCACCAGCCCCAGTTCTGGGGACCTGCCCAGGTCAGGGCTGTGCTGGGGGCTGTGCCCCGTGGCCGCCTACTGGTTCTGGACCTGTTTGCTGAGAGCCAGCCTGTATACACCCGCACCGCCTCCTTCCAGGGCCAGCCCTTCATCTGGTGCATGCTGCACAACTTCGGGGGCAACCACGGTCTGTTTGGAGCCCTGGAGGCCGTGAACCGAGGCCCAGAAGCCGCCCGCCTCTTCCCCAACTCCACCATGGTAGGCACCGGCATGGCCCCTGAGGGCATCAACCAGAACGAAGTGGTCTATTCCCTCATGGCTGAGCTGAGCTGGCGAAAGGACCCAGTGCCAGATTTGGCGGCCTGGGTGACCAGCTTTGCTACCCAGCGGTACGGGGTCTCCCACCCGGATGCAGGGGCAGCATGGAGGCTCCTGCTCAGGAGTGTGTACAATTGCTCCGGGGAGGCCTGCAGGGGCCACAATCACAGCCCGCTGGTCAGGCGGCCGTCCCTACAGATGAATACCACCGTCTGGTACAACCGATCTGATGTGTTTGAGGCTTGGCGGCTGCTGCTCTCAGCTGCTGCCACCCTGGCTGCCAGCCCCACCTTCCGCTACGACCTGCTGGACGTCACTCGGCAGGCAGTGCAGGAGCTGGTCGGCTTGTACTACGAGGAGGCGAGGAGCGCCTACCTGAGCAAGGAGCTGCATTCCCTGTTGAGGGCCGGAGGCATCCTGGCCTACGAGCTGCTGCCGGCGCTGGATGAGGTACTGGCTAGTGACAGCCACTTCTTGCTGGGCAGCTGGCTGGAACAGGCCAGAGCAGTGGCGGTCAGTGAGGCCGAGGCTGATTTCTACGAGCAGAGCAGCCGCTACCAGCTGACCCTGTGGGGGCCAGAAGGCAACATCCTGGACTACGCCAACAAGCAGCTGGCGGGGCTCGTGGCCAGCTACTACACCCCTCGCTGGCGGCTGTTCCTGGAGGTGCTGGCTGCCAGTGTGGCCCAGGGCATCCCTTTCCCACAACACCAGTTTGACAAAAATGTCTTCCAACTGGAGCAGGCCTTTGTCCTCAGCAAGCAGAGGTATCCCAGCCAGCCGCGAGGAGACACTGTGGACCTGGCCAAGAAGATCTTCCTCAAATATTACCCCCGCTGGGTGGCCGGCTCTTGGGAATAGATTCGCCACCCCTGGGCCTTGCTTTCCGCTAACTCCAGGCCGGGGCAGGTTTCCAGGGCCCGGAGCTGGACAAGCATCACGGGGTATCCCAGGCCTGGGAGGAGGCCCCATGGCCTGCTGGTGGGGTCTGGTCTTGGGGGAATTGGCAGTGAGTTGCCCTTCATCACCACTCAAAGTGTGGGATTAAAGTACTGTTTTCTAGCCACTTAAACTGATGAGTCACTGGGTCTGTCAGAATGAGGTCACTGCTGCCACGCTTGGGAGGACTCAGAGCTATAGCATGGCCCCTGGGGTGGACCTGTTCTCCCATCCCTTGCCTCATGCCACCCCTTTTTTTTTTTTTTGAAATAGAGTCTTGCTCTGTTGCCCAGGCTGGAGTACAATGGCACCATCTTGGCATGGCAACGTCCGCCTCGTGGGTTCAAGTAATTCCAGTGCCTCACCCTCCTGGGTAGCTGGGACTATAGGCATGCATTGCCACGCCCGGCTAATGTTTTTTTTTTAATTCCCTGAGACAGAGTCTTGCTCTGTCACCCAGGCTAGAGTTCAGTGGAGCAATCTCAGCTTACCGCAACCTCTGCCTCCTGGGTTCAAGCAATTCTCCTGCCTCAGCCTTCCACATAGCTGGGAGTACAGGTGTCTGCCACCATGCCCTGCTAATTTTTGTTTTTTATTTTTTTTATTTTTTTTATTTTTTGAGACGGAGTTTCGCTCTTGTTACCCAGGCTGGAGTGCAATGGCGCGATCTTGGCTCACCGCAACCTCCGCCTCCTGGGTTCAGGCAATTCTCCTGCCTCAGCCTCCTGAGTAGCTGGGATTACAGGCACGTGCCACCATGCCCAGCTAATTTTTTGTATTTTTAGTAGAGACGGGGTTTCACCATGTTGACCAGGATGGTCTCGATCTCTCGACCTCGTGATCCACTCACCTCGGCCTCCCAAAGTGCTGGGATTACAGGCTTGAGCCACTGTGCCCAGTGTGTTTTTTATTTTTGAGACGGAGTTTCACTCTTGTTACCCAGGCTGGAGTGCAGTGGCACGATCTCGGCTCACTGCAACCTCCACCTCCTGGGTTCAAGCAATTCTCCTGCCTCAGCCTCCCGAGTAGCTGGGAGGCGCGCGCCACTGTGCTCGGCTAATTTTTTTGTATGTTTAGTAGAGACGGGGTTTCACCATGTTGACCAGGATGGTCTCGATCTCTTGACCTCGTGATCCACCCGCCTCAGCCTCCCAAAGTGCTGGGATTACAGGCTTGAGCCACTGCGCTCGGCCTAATGTTTGTATTTTTAATAGAGATGGGGTTTCATCATGTTGGCCGGGATGGTCTTGAACTCCTGACCTCTAGTGATCCACCTGCCTCGGCCTCCCAAAGTGCTGGGATTACAGGCGTGAGCCACCATGCCCAGCAGGAAAACCTTTTCTCAAACTGTGTTTTTTCTTTGCTGCCATGCTGCAACAACGATCACGAACACAGAAGACTTCTGTGATGAAATATTTGGAGGATTGTCCCCATGCACCACGCAGTGGACATCAGCTGGGTGTCCTCCAATTCAGTTCCAATGTAACTCACCAAAGACAACGTCAGAGTCCACAGAGTTAGGGCGCAGACCCATGACACCAACCCCTCCTTCTCCGTTAGTCACAAGTCCTGGTCCCTGGAACTTCTGATGGACTGGCTTCAAGTTGGAGTTTCCATGACCCCCTTCCCCCTTTGGATTTAACCAATTTGCTACAGTGGCCCACAGAACACAGGGAATCCGTTATTATGTGTAGTAGTTTATTAGGGAGGAATTTTTTTTTTCTTTATTTAAAAAAAATTTATTATTATTATTTTTTTGAGACAAGGTTATACTCTCTCAACCAGAGTGAGTACAGCGGCATGTTCTCTGCTCACCACAGCCTTGATTCACCGCCCCCCCCATCTCTCAGCCTCAGCACCCCACCCCCCAAGTAGCTGGGACTCCAGACACACACCACCATGCCCAGCTAATTTTTTTGTATTTTTTGCAGAGATGGGGGTTCCCTCTGTTGCCCTGGCTGGTCTTGAACTCCTGGGCTCCAGCAATCCCCTTGCCTCAGCCTCCGAAAGTTCTGGGATTACAGGCATGAGACAGCCAGCCTTGAAGGATATCTTAAAGGATAGAAATAAACAGCCATATGGGCTGGGTGTAGTGACTCACGCCTATAATCCCAGCACTTTGGGAGGCCAAGTCCGGTGGATCATGAGGTCAAGAGATCAAGACCATCCTGGCCAACAACGGAAACCCCGTTGCTTCTAAAAACAAAAATTATCTGGGCATGGTGGTATGCGCCTGTAGTCCCAGCTACTTGGGAGGCTGAGGCAGGAGAATCACTTAAACCCAGGAGGCTGAGGTTGCATTGAGCTGAGATTGCACCACTGTACTCGAGCCTGGGTGACAGAGTGAGACTCCATCTCAAAAAAAAAAAAAAAAAAAAAAAAAGAAATAGCCATATGAAGAGATGCAGATGGAGGGGGGGGGCCTGGAAGGGTCCAGAGCTGGAGCTTCTATCTCCATAGAGCTGGGGTTACGTCACCCTCTGGGCACACCGATGAGTTCTTCACCTTCCCGTCAGCCTCCACACCTTCAACTCCCAGAAGCTCCCCGAACCCTGTCCTTTGGGCCTTTTTGGAGAACTTCATTGGCTTCATGAGTGAAGCATGGACAACTGTGAAAATGTGTTTGGACAAAAACGGTCTGATCTAAGCCCAGCAAGGCCGGTCCAGATTCTTCCGGCCTTTGTGCAGCATTCCTTTCTCCATGGTATGCGGCAAGGACCCACTCTGGAATGAGGATCCTACAACCCACATCAGATTAGAGTCCTGCCTTGGGCAGGTGAAAAGACGACGTCAGAAGGTCGGAAGAGGAGAGGCTGTTATCTGAGTCCTGAGGCGCCCCAACATTACAGTGAAAGATTGTAACCGTGGTCATGTGAGTTATGAGCTAGGAACTGTGGACGAAACCAACGTATATACTCCAACCTCCCAACGCCTTTCCTTTCACAGCCTCTGCAGCAAACTCTGGTCACTGTCATTGCTCCTGTGGCCCAGAGGCATGCCCAGGGTGCCAGTCCGTGCCCACATGGGAACCTACACCTGCTTGTAAAGCCTTCCCTCCCTCTGAGCAGCAACCAGGACAGTTTGGTGTTCCAAGCAGTGGGCTTCTGTCTGTTTTGACTCATCACAGGGTGGGGAGAGCAGGCCAGGGACCCGCAGGAGGGCTTATCCTTGAGATTGCGTGGGAGACACAACAAGAGGCGAGGGCCCGCGGGCGGGGTGGGGCGGAGCAGGTGATATCCAGCCCAGAGCCCCAGCCTCTCCCCACAGTCTCACCATGACCCGCACCGTGGTGCTCATCACTGGCTGTTCCTCGGGCATCGGGCTTCACTTGGCCGTACGACTGGCGTCGGACCCATCTCAGAGCTTCAAAGGTATAGATAGGTAGGGACAGGGATGGAGAGAAGGGAGGAGCCCTTGAAGGTCAGAAGGAAAGTCAGATCTTCCTCCTCTCCCCTAACCTCCAGTGTATGCCACCATGAGGGACCTAAAGACACAGGGCCAGCTTTGGGAGGCAGCCAGGGCCCAGGGGTGCCCTAGGGACTCCCTGGAGACGTTGCAGCTGGACGTAAGAGACTCAAAATCCGTGGCCGATGCCCAGGCACGCGTGACCGAGGGCCGTGTGGATATACTGGGTGAGCCTCGAGAAACTCTTGGGCTCCTAGGAGCCTTCACCCCGTGTTCAAATCACCATGTCCCAAGGCCCAGGGAGCAGGAGGGCACAGGCCGGGCTGAGGGTGATGCTGAGGCTGCTCGGGCCTCTGTCCCCGCAGTGTGTAACGCGGGCCAGGGCCTGCTGGGGCCGCTGGAGGCGCTGGGGGAGGACGCCGTGGGCTCTGTGCTGGATGTGAACGTGGCAGGGACGGTGCGGATGCTGCAGGCCTTCCTGCCAGAGATGAAGCGGCGCGGTTCGGGGCGCGTGTTGGTGACCGGGAGCATGGGAGGACTGATGGGTGAGTGGCAGGGACAGGGTCGCAGCTCCAGATTCTTCGCGTGCAGAGCTGAGCCTTGAAGGCAGGCTCCGCGGGGAGGGGCAGTCAGCTTGGAGGGGCACAGTCTGCCCAGGGATGGCCCCCTGGTCGCTGAGCCTCGGGAACTTCGTCTCCCCCACCACCAAGGTCTGCCCTTCAATGACGTTTACTGCGCCAGCAAGTTTGCGCTGGAAGGCTTATGCGAGAGCCTGGCGGTTCTGCTGCCGCCCTTTGGGGTCCAGTGAGTAAACACCCTCTTCCCATCGCTCCGCGAACCCTCTGAACTCTGACCTAGAGATCCCAAGCATCCTGTCTTGCAGGAGCCACTCTGGGGCGATCTCCCCGACCCTCCCTGCCCGGTTCACATTTGCTGTGTGCCAGGCACTTGGGCTGGGCGCATGGCATGCGTTGTGCCATCTGCTGACCTGGCTGCTGAAGTGTCGGTATTGTCATGCGGAAGCTCGGGCCCAGAGAGGTTAGGTGACCGACCAGAGGTCACACAGCGGCCAGGGAGCCCGCCAGGGTCAAATCCTGACACCAGGGCTCCCTCGCAGGCTCAGATGGATGTGGGAGGGCTGCTCGGGCAGGAACCCGCTTTTTAAATGCTCTGGTTATTCCCAGCGCCCTTTATGCCTCGCTTTGTGGCACAGCGGTGGTGCTCTGGTCGCGGCTGAGCCAAGGTCCGGGTCGGAGCCGGGCCGGGGCTGGGGCAGGGACTGGGGCTGGCGCCTGGCTGGCGTCTGCCCCCGCCCACTTGCCGCTCTCGGGCCGGCAGCGTGAGCCTGATCGAGTGCGGCCCGGTGCACACCCCCTTCATGCAGAAGGTGTTGGGCGGCCCCGGCGGGATGCTGGACCGCACGGACAGCCGGACCCGCCTCCTCTTCCACCAATACCTCCAGCACAACAAAGAGATCTTCCGCGAGGCCGCGCAGCACCCGGAGGAGGTGGTGGAGGTGAGCGCCGGGCCGGACTCCGGGAGCGGGGACGGTGCGTCCTCCCGTGCGCAGCCGGGGCCAGAGCTCCCTTCCCGCCGCCGCAGGTCTTCCTCACCGCTCTGCGCGCCCCGAAGCCGGCCCTGCGCTACTTCACCACCGAGCGCTTCCTGCCCCTGCAGCAGATGCGCCTGGATGACCCCAGCGGCTCCAGTTACGTCGCCGCCATGCACCGCAATGTGTTCCCCAAAGAGCCCGCAGAGGCCGAGGCCGGGGCCGGGGCCGGGGCCGGTGGGGTGGGGGACCCTGAGCTCGGTGATCCTCCGGCCGCCCCGCAGTAGAGGCTCCCTCAGCCGCTGTCTCGCGCCCTCCTTTGTCCCCTGGGTCTGTGTGGTCCCTGGGGATGTGGCGGCGGTGGCGGCTGTGGATGGCGAATTAAGACAGATCGCCTTAGCCCGGTATACCTGCGCGACTACGTGCGATGGCTGTCGCCTGTAATCACAGCACTTTGGGAGGTGGAGGCAGGAGGATTGCTTGAGCCCAGGAGTTCGAGACCAGCCTGAGCAACATAGTGAGCCCCTTCCCCCTGCCACCGCCGGCCATCTCTACAAAAATAAAACATTTAAAAATGACCACAGTGGCATCTTTCCTTGAGCTCAGGAGTTGGAGGCTGCAGTGAGCATGATCTGGCCACTGCATCCAGTTTTGGCGGCAGAGTGAGGCCTGTAAATCCATCAATCAAATCAACCAACCAACCAACTGACCAACTCAGAAACTGAGGTCCAGAAAGAAGCCAGCCCAGGGTCACCCCTCAAGGCCACAGCAAAGTCCAGACGTAGTCTCTAGATACCCAAAGGGCATCTGCAGGAGGAGTTAGGTGGGACTTGGGTTGCGTAGAGTCAGTTTGTGACCTTTACCACATTAGCCAGGAGATCTCAGGCACGTTCCTTGCTTTCCCTGAGTCTTTATTTTTTTATTCTTTGATACGGAGTTTCACTCTTATTACCCAGGCCAGAGTGAACCTCGGCTCACTGCAACCTCCACCTCCAGGATTCAAGCGATTCTCCTGCCTCAGCCTCCCGAGTAACTGGGATCACAGGCACGCACCACCACGCTCAGCTAATTTTTGTATTTTTAGTAGAGATGGGGTTTCACCATATTGGCCAGACTGGTCTCGAACTCCTGACCTCATGATCTGCCCTCCTCGGCCTCCCAAGTGCTGAGATTACCCATGCCTGGCTTTTTTTTTTTTTTTTTTTTTTTTTTTTTTTTTTTTTTTTTTTGAGACGGAATCTTGCTCTGTCACCCAGGCTGGAGTGCAGTGGTGCAGTCTCAGCTCACTGCAACCTCCGCCTCTCAGGTTCAAGTGATTCTTCTGCCTCAGCTTCTCCGGTAGCTGGGACTATAGGCATGTCATCACACCCAGCTAATTTTTGTATTTTTAGTAGAGACAGGGTTTCACCCTATTGGCCAGGATGATCTTGAACCCCTGACCTTGTGATCTGGCTACCTCAGTTTCCCAAAGTGCTGAAATTACAGGTGTAAGCCACTGCACCTGGCCTTAATTTTGAATTTTTAGTAGAGATGGGGTTTCTCGATGTTGGTCAGCTGGTCTCGAACCCCTGATACAAGTTATCCACCCAACTTAGCCTCCCAAAGTGCTGGGATTACAGGCCTGAGCCACCACGTCCGGCCCTCTGAGTCTTTCTTATCTGTTAAATGGGTGTAAAAATACCTATCTAATGGGTTTTAGTAAGGGTTGAGATAATGCCTGAAAGTGCTAGCATAGAGGTCTTAACAGCCAGCAAGGACTGTTATAACGAATAGCAGTATGACTATTGTCACATTTCACAAATGTGTAAAGAAGAAAGAGGGCTCAATCAATCAAAGGGAGATGGCCCCACTCACCCTGCTCTGCCCCAGAGGACTGAGAGATCCCAACTCTCTGGGAAACTGCCTCACCAGGAGGTCCAGCCGGGGGTACAGGCCTGGCTGGTTTGCTACAGTGGCCTGTCCTTCCTGAGCCCAGGGTGGCAGGAGTCATTGATAGGAGCCACTCTCGGCTTCTGTGGAGCTCTGGTGCAAGTGAGGAAGAATGAACAGATAAGACGCTAGGTGGGGATGCAGGCAGAGGAAGGGGGCAGGAGTGCCCGAGGAGGGGGCGGTACCCAGGGAGGGATTCAGGTGGGTCTGAGAGGGAGGGAAGGGTGAGGGGGATGGCCTTTGGAGTGGGCAGGGACGTGACCACAGAAAGCCTGGGAAGTGGAAACAGGAGCCTGCTAGAGTTCTTGGAGCTTTGTCTGGGGCAGTAGGGGAAGGAGGCAGGCACTCCTCCCTGACCCGCCCCCACCCCCGCCTCCGCCTCCGCCTCCAGATGAGGTTCTTCTCTGGCTTCCCCTGCTCTTGAAGGAAAAGAGGCCTCACAGCCAGCTCCTCCTGTCAGTCTCCTCTCCCTGCTGGCCCAGACGGATCTGCTGTCCCTACAACACCCAGGAAGGCCACAGGGAGGGGGCGCAGGCGGCATGGGTTTCTGAAGCAATAGGATCTGCTCTGTGTGGCTCTCGCCAACCCCCTTTGCCCCTCTGTGGCAGTGTGTGTACCTGTCTGTGCGTGCGTGTACCTGTGTGGTGTGGCTTACAAGGTCATCCCTGGTGGGTGGGATTAAGAGACAGAGTGACCCTTCTCTTCTGTACATTCATACTTTTTTCCCCCGAACTTGTGAATATTCACACTGTTAATAATCCTGTGCAGTCCCATGACTTCCAATACCACTTATGTGCTGATGACCCCCCAAGCAAAGAAACCCTTACATACCTTCAACCCGCTGCCTCCCAAGAACTGCAGGTCTGTATCTCCAGCTGCCTCCTGGATACATCTCCACTTGATGCAATGAATTCATGTGTCCAAACCCCAGTTCCAGATTTCCAGTGCTCCTGCCAGCTCCTCCCCCAGTCTTCCCTACTTTAGTGACAACTCCATTTTCCCCAATACTCATTTATTTATTTATTTATTTTTGAGATGGAGTTTTGCTCTTGTTACCCAGGCTGGAGTGCAATGGCGTAATCCCGGCTCACCGCAACCTCCGCCTCCTGGGTTCAGGCAATTCTCCTGCCTCAGCCTCCCAAGTAGCTGGGATTACAGGCACGCACCACCATGCCCAGCTAATGTTTTGTATTTTTAGTAGAGACGGGGTTTCACCATGTTGACCAGGATGGTCTCGATCTCTTGACCTCATGATCCACCCACCTTGGCCTCCCAAAGTGCTGGGATTACAGGCGTGAGCCACCGCGCCCGGCCCCCAATACTCTTTTTTTTTTTTTTTTTTTTTTTTTTTAAGACGGAGTTTCGCTCTTGTTTCCCAGGCTGGAGTGCAATGGCGCGATCTCGGCTCACCGCAACCTCCGCCTCCTGGGTTCAGGCAATTCTCCTGCCTCAGCCTCCTGAGTAGCTGGGATTACAGGCACGTGCCACCATGCCCAGCTAATTTTTTTTTTTTTTTTTTTTTTTTTTTTTTTTTTTTTTTTTGAGACGGAGTTTCGCTCTTGTTACCCAGGCTGGAGTGCAATGGCGCGATCTCGGCTCACCGCAACCTCCGCCTCCTGGGTTCAGGCAATTCTCCTGCCTCAGCCTCCTAAGTAGCTGGGATTACAGGCACGCACCACCACGCCCAGCTAGTTTTTTGTATTTTTAGTAGAGACGGGGTTTCACCATGTTGACCAGGATGGTCTCGATCTTTTGACCTCGTGATCCACCCGCCTCGGCCTCCCAAAGTGCTGGGATTACAGGCTTGAGCCACCGCGCCCGGCCCATGCCCAGCTAATTTTTTATATTTTTAGTAGAGACGGGGTTTCAGCATGTTGACCAGGATGGTCTCGATCTCTTGACCTTGTGATCCACCCGCCTCAGCCTCCCAAAGTGCTGGGATTACAGGCTTGAGCCACCATGCCCGGCCCCCAATACTCATTTTTAAAACCTTGGAGTATCCCTTGACTCCATTCTCTCTTCTCTTTCAACTGTTTCATCAGCAAATACTGACAGCTCTACCTTTATCATCAAAGCGTATACAGAAATCACCCTCTTTTGCATTGCACACTGTCATCTTTCCCTTGAACTACTGCAGTAGCCTCCTAACTAGGTTTCCTGATTCCACTCTTGCCCAGTAGCAGCAGCAGAAGAAAAAACCACAGTGCCGTTAAAATGATCTTTTAAAAATGACAGGGTTGGATGTGTTGGCTCATGCCTATAATCGCAGCACTTTGGGAGGCTGAGGCGGGTGTTATCACTTGAGGTCAGGAGTTTGAGTCCAGCCTGGTGAAACCCTGTCTCTACTAAAAATAGAAAAATTAGCCGGGCATGGTAGTAATCCCAGCTACTCTGGAGGCTGACACAGGAGAATCACTTGAACCAGGGAGGTAGAGGCTGCAGTGAGCCAAGATCGGGACACGGCATTCCAGCCTGGGCAATGGAAACTTTGTCTTAAAAAAAAAAAGAAAAAAGAAAAAGAAAAAAGGGAGCCTGAGCAACAAAGTGAGACCCGTCTCTACCAAAAAAAATCAAAACATTACTGGGTATGGTGGCACACAACTGCAGTCCTGGCCACTTGGGAGGCTGATGTGGGAAGACTGCTTAAGCCCAGGAGGTTGAGGCTACAGTAAGCTGTGAGCACACCACTGGACTCCCACCTGGGTCATAGAGGGAGACCCTGTCTCAAAAAAGAAAAAAGCCAGGCGTGGTGGCTACGCCTGTAATCCCACCACTTGGGAGCCCGAGGTGGGTGAATCACTTGAGGTCAGGAGTTCGAGAGCAGCCTGACCAACATGGTGAAACACCGTCTCCACTAAAAATACAAAAATTAGCTGGGCATGTAGTGTGTTCCTGTAATCCCAGCTGCTTGGGAGGCTGAGGCAGGAGAATCACTTGAACCTGGCAGGCGGAGGTTGCAGTGAGCAGAGCTGAGATTGCACCAGTGCACTCCAGCCTGGGCAAAAAGAGGGAGACTCTGTCTCAAAAAAAAAAAAAAAAAAAAAAAAGAGAAAGAAAAAAGTCTATTCCTGTTTTGCTCAGTACACTTTCTGTGGCTTCCAATTTCAGTAAAATCCAAGTGTCTTAGCCCATTTTCTGCTAGCTAAATCAGAAAACCATAGACTGGATAATTTGCACATAACCAAAGTTTATTTTGCTCACAGTTTCACAGTTTTAGTGGCTGGAAAGTGAAAGAACCTGATGCAGCATCTGCCGAGGGTTGTCCCAGGATGGAAGGGCAGAAGGTGGAAGCAAACACGAGGGACAGGAAATTGTGCCTTTCATCAGGAGCCAGGCCAATGATAACAGTATTAATCTATTCGGGAGGGCAGAGCCCTCATGACCTAATTACCTCTCTCTCTCTTTTTTTTTTTTTTTTTTTTGAGATCAAGTTTCAGTCTTGCCACCCAGGTTGGAGTGCAGTGGCGCGATCTCGGCTCACTGCAAACTCTGCCTCTCTGGTTCAAGCGATCCTCCTGCCTCAACCTCCCAAGGAGCTGGGATTACTGTTGCCCGTCACCACACCTGACTAATTTTTCCATTTTTAGTAGGGATGGGGTTTCACCATATTGGCCAGGCTGGTCTCGAACCCCTCGGGTGATCCACCCTCTTCGGCCTCCCATATGCTGAGATAACAGGCATGAATCACTGCATCCGGGTGACCTAATTACCTCTTAAAGGGCCCATTCTGCCCAGCACAGTGGCTCAGGCCTGTAATCCCAACACTTCGGGAGGCTGAGGTGGGAGGACTGTTTAAGCTCAGGAATTTTTTTTTTTTTTTTTTTTTTTTTTGAGACGGAGTTTCGCTCTCGTTACCCAGGCTGGAGTGCAATGGCGCGATCTCGGCTCACCGCAACCTCCGCCTCCCGGGCTCAGGCAATTCTCCTGCCTCAGCCTCCTGAGTAGCTGGGATTACAGGCACGTGCCACCATGCCCAGCTAATTTTTTGTATCTTTAGTAGAGACGGGGTTTCACCATGTTGACCAGGATGGTCTCGATCTCTCGACCTCGTGATCCACCCGCCTCAGCCTCCCAAAGTGCTGGGATTACAGGCTTGAGCCACCGCGCCCGGCTTAAGCTCAGGAATTTAACACCAGCCTGGGCAACACAGCAACACTCTGTCTGTATGAAAAACAAAAACAAAAACAGCCTGGCCAGCATGGTGAAACCCCATCTCTACTAAAAGTACAAAATTAGCCAGGTGTGGTGGCAAATGCCTGTAATCCTAGCTACTTTGGAGGCTGAGGCAGGAGAATAGCTTGATCCCAGGAGGTGGAGGTTGTAGTGAGCCATGATCACGTCACTGCACTCCAGCCTGGATGACAGAGACTCCTTAGCCAGGCGTGGTGGCACACACCTGTAATTTCAGCTGCTCAGGAGGCCAAGGAAGAAGACTGCTTGAGTCCAGGCTGCTGTGAACCAAGATCAACCCACTGCACTCCAGCCTGGTGACAGAGTGAAACCCAGTCTCAAAGAAAAAAAAAAGCCCCAACTCTTAAGACAATAGCAATTACATTTATTTTTTATTTTTTTATTTTTTGGTGCCATGACTCGGATGTGAAATGAAATTTCTTTTTATTTCAACATGAGTTTTGGCAGGGACATTCAAACCATAGAACCCAGGTTCTCCTCAAAGGTCTCCAAGACTTTTGATCTGGCCCCTGACCCCTTTCTAATCTCATCTCCATCACTGAGTTCAGCCCTCCTGCCTCGGAGCGTCTGCACCTGCTCCCCTTGGGTCACATTCCCCTGATCTCTGTCTGATTCTATCTCTTCTTCAGGAGTTGGTGTTTCCCGAACCACCTCATCTAAAATAGTATCTCCTTTTCTCCATACAGCTCCCTTAGTCTGCTTTACTTTTCTTCATATCCTTTATCACCAGTAGATGTACTATAGATTTGGATTTTTTTTTTTTTCTTTGAGGCGGAGTTTCGCTCTTGTTACCCAGGCTGGAGTGCAATGGCGCGATCTCGGCTCACCGCAACCTCCGCCTCCTGGGTTCAGGCGATTCTCCTGTCTCAGCCTCCTGAGCAGCTGGGATTACAGGCATGCGCCACCATGCCCAGCTAATTTTTTGTATTTTTGGTAGAGACGGGGTTTCACCATGTTGACCAGGATGGTCTCGATCTCTTGACCTTGTGATCCACCTGCCTCGGCCTCCCAAAGTGCTGGGATTACAGGCTTGAGCCACCGCGCCCGGCCCTAGATTTGGATTTTTAATTTTATTTATTTATTTATTTATTTATTTATTTTTTGAGACGGAGTTTCGCTCTTGTCACCCAGGCTGGAGTGCAATGGCACGATCTCGGCTCACCGCAACCTCCGCCTCCTGGGTTCAGGCAATCCTCCTGCCTCAGCCTCCGGAGTAGCTGGGATTACAGGCACGCGCCAGCATGCCCAGCTAATTTTTTGTATTTTTAGTAGAGACGGGGTTTCACCATGTTGACCAGGATGGTCTCAATCTCTCGACCTGGTGATCCGCCCGCCTCGGCCTCCCAAAGTGCTGGGATTACAGGCTTGAGCCACCGCACCCGGCGGATTTTTAATTTTAATTTTTACTTTTTTCTTTTTTGGGACAGAGTCTCCCTCTGTTGCCCAGGCTGGAGTGCAATGGCACGATTTCGGCTCACTGCAACCTCCGCCTCCCAGGTTCAAATGATTCTCCTGCCTCAGGCTCCCGAATAGGTGGGACTACAGGTGCACACCACCATGCCAGCTAATTTTTTGTTTTGTATTTTTAGTAGAGACAGGGTTTCAGGTTAGCCAGGATGGTCTCGATCTCCTGACCTCGTGATCCATCCGCCTTGGCCCCCCAAAGTGCTAGGATTACAGGCGTGAGCCACTGCGCCTGGCCTTATTTTTATAAATTTTTTATTTTATTTTATTTTGAAAGTGCAAGCAAGTTTATCAGAGAAGTAAAGAAACAAAAGAATGGCTACTCCATAAGCAGAGCAGCTTTTACTATTTATTTTTTTGGAGTGCAGTGGCATGATCTCAGCTCACAGCAACCTCCTGGGTTCAAGTGATTCTCCTGCCTCAGCCTCCTGAGTAGCTGGATTCACAGGTACCATCACCATGACCGGCTAATTTTTTGTATTTTTAGTAGAGACAGGGTTTCGCCATGTTGGCCAGGATGGTATTGAACTCAAGTGATCTGCTTGCCTCGGCCTCCCAAAGTGCTGTGATTATAGGCGTGAGCCGCCTTGTTGGGCCATGTATTATAGATTTATTTACAGTCACATGATTCCTGTGTGCAAGCCCATGACACACAGGAATCTATACACCAGGAGGTCAGAAACACTTTTGTTCACTTGTCTCTCCCTGTGCCTAGACCCCCTACCCGCACATGGGAGGCACCACAATACGCATTCACCGAATAAAAGTGACTCTGTGTGGCATGTCAGACTGTGTCCAGATGTCTTGGGACATTCCCTGGCAGCCTTTGCTGTTTGCTTCTTCAAATCGAACCCTATCTTTAAATCTAGCTTATGTCTCCTGTGAGAAGCCTGGTCCCTTGACCCCTTTGTGGCTCTACAACTGTTCCCTCCTTGACTCTATCTCTTCCTCCAGGTCTTTGCTGTTTTCCTGAACCACCTTATCTAAAATAGCATATCCTCTTCTCTGTTATAACCCCAGGTTTTGTGGGCTCGGGGGTTTATTTGCTTTTGGAGACCCTCTTCAAGAATTCAAAAGATAAACACAAAATTACTTATAAAAGTGAGCTTTTTATTTTTTTTTTTAGTTCCGGAAAATAAACCACAGTACATTACTGAAATCTTGGAGATTGGTTTCTCTCTTTTGATCTCCACGGACAACTTACCTGAGATATATTCTGATAGCAACCTGGCTTACCTTCCACACTCAGCCTTTCCAGCACTCATCAGTTTAGTGGTAATCTCCCACACTAGGTATCCATCTCTGTTCTTTCTCTTTCTCTCTCTCTGTCTCTCCCTCTTCCTTTTTTTGAGACAGAGTTTTGCTCTTGCTGTCCAGGATGGAGTGCAATGGCACGATCTCAGCTCATCGCAACCTCCACCTTCCATGTTCAAGCAGTTCTCCTGCCTCAGCCTCCCAAGTAGCTGGGATTACAGGCATGTGCCACCATGCCTGGCTAATTTCGTATATTCAGTAGAGAGAGGGTTTCTCTGTGTTGGTCAGGCTGGTCTCGAACTCTAAACCTCAGGTGATCCACCCACCTCGGCCTCCGAAAGTGCTGGGATTACAAGCTTACAAGCGCGATCCACCGCGCCCGGCCAGCCCTTGCCTTTTTCTCCTGTCCACAGAGACCCCGCAGACAAGCACATCAGCGGATCTGGGTGGTGCGGGGGTCTCCTACAGCAGCCAGGAGACCCTGGTACAGACAGGGCCTCAGTTTTTCCATCTGTGAAATGGGAACGTGGACAGACCTGTCTGTCCACGTGAGGATCCTCGGACAGAGGATACTAGGAGGGCTAATACAGCGCAACCCTGTGATTCTCACCTCCCTCCCAGGAATAAAGGAAACCCGGGTGTTCTGGCTTTGCCGATGCCTCTCGGGTGACCTGGCTGAAGCTAATGTATCCTCTTTAGGCCAGAAGGGAATCTGTGAAATGGGCTTTGAAGCCCGCCTTGCCCTTCTCCGCCCGGTCCCGGCCAGGGTCCGATGGGACCAAGGCTTCACCCATTTCCATAGCCTTCGAGATCAGCCCCACCCCATCATCAGGACGCATCCCACGCCAGGAGAAATCTCGCGAGGTTCCCGCGCTGAAGCGAAGTCGAGAATTTTGACCTTCCACTGTTTCCGTAGTCCCGAGTTGCGGTTTCCGAGTTAGTGCTTCCGGGCTGCAGCCGGGGCATCGTCCGCGGGGGTGCAAGCGGAACCAAAGCCCGGAGGTTTCAGTGAGTAGGGGGCCGATGTGAGCTTGAGCGTCCCCCGTTAGACTCCCCACTGCGATTCCATGAGTACCCTGGTGCAGCTTAGCAAGAGGGTCCAGGATTTTTGGATCCCCAGCCCTGTGCCAAGGCTTCCAGTCCAGTTCTCCCCTCCCAGGATTTCGACTCAGTTCAGCGAAGTCACCGCCCCGTCTGAGAAATGAGGACACCAAGGTTTAGAGCACAGCCCGGGTCTGCCAGGCCCCGTCCCCTCCCCCGGCTCCTGTTGATCAGCATTGAAACCCCGTCCCTGCTCCAGGTCCCCTTCTCTAGGGTCCAAGGCCCCTTGCAGACCTCTGCAATCACCGTCGCCTCGTCTCCCTGACTGTCCGCAGGCCTGGGCAGAATGGCCGTATTCCGGTCTGGCCTCCTTGTGCTGACGACGCCGCTGGCCTCCCTGGCCCCTCGCCTGGCCCCCATCCTGACCTCGGCGGCCCGGCTGGTGAATGACACACTCTATGTACACCTGCAGCCGGGCATGAGCTTGGAGGGCCCGGCTCAGCCGCAGTCCACCCCCGTGCAGGCCACGTTTGAGGTTCTCGATTTCATCACGCACCTCTATACCGGCGCCGACGTCCACAGGCACCTGGACGTCAGAATCCTACTGACCAATATCCGGACCAAGAGCACCTTTCTCCCTCCCTTGCCCACCTCAGTTCAGAATCTCGCCCACCCGCCAGAAGTCGTGTTGACAGACTTCCAGACCGTGGATGGAAGCCAGTACAACCCGGTCAAGGAGCAGCTAGTGCGTTATGCCACCAGCTGTTACAGCTGTTGTCCGCGACTGGCCTCGGTGCTGCTGTACCCCGATTATGGGACAGGAGAAGTGCCCGTGGAGCCCCTGGATGTCCCTTTACCCTCCACGATCAGGCCAGCTTCCCCCGTGGCCAGGTCTCCAAAGCAGCCGGTGCGTGGCTACTACCGTGGCGCTGTGGGTGGCACGTTTGACCGCCTGCACAATGCCCACAAGGTGTTGCTCAGTGTCGCGTGCGTCCTGGCCCAGGAGCAGCTTGTGGTGGGAGTAGCAGACAAAGATCTGTTGAAGAGTGAGTGAGAGGGACCCTGGATTAGGGCAGTGGAGGATCCCCAAATCTCCCCGTCCCCCACCCTTATGCCAAGATCTCGGAAGGGTAGGACCATCCATGACTTCTCACCCTTCCCGGTTGTCACAGTGCTTGACACTTGGTGCTAAGGACATTTTGTCAAATGAATGGCTTTCTCAGCATGTGGTCCAATCACCACTCAATCAGAATTCCCCAAATGTGAAGCAAAGGGATCTGCACTTAGCGAGTTCTCCAGGTGAGGCACCCTAATGAGACACTGGGAATGAATTGGTGAGTGAGCTGCAGGTAGCAATGCCACAGACAGGAGGAGGGAACTCAAGCATGGCATGGGTCTTGGAATTCTCCATCTGCCTCTGATGCCCACTGGCGCTGCTCCTTCTCTGGACACATGCCAGCTCTTGGATTGACTATTGTGCTTGCCTGTTTCTCCTTCATGCACCCCTCACCATCACCATAGGCCTTCCCAGTTGAACCCTTTCTGCCACCCCCCTCTGGAGATGCTGTACTTAGGGACACTTTCCCCAAACTGGCCCATACTCTTCCTCGCCAGTAAAAAGATCTCACTGTTCTTCTGGGCTCCTTCCCCAGGTAAGTTGCTCCCTGAGCTGCTCCAGCCTTACACAGAACGCGTGGAACATCTGAGTGAGTTCCTGGTGGATGTCAAGCCCTCCTTGACTTTCGATGTCATCCCCCTGCTGGACCCCTATGGGCCCGCTGGCTCTGACCCCTCCCTGGAGTTCCTGGTGGTCAGCGAGGAGACGTATCGTGGGGGGATGGCCGTCAACCGCTTCCGCCTGGAGAATGTAACCCCTGAGGGAGACTGGCAGAAGGAGTGGATGGGGGGCGGGGAAGGACATTTTGGGGGACTGTCGGGGCTAGAGGAGAGAAGTGGGGGCTTAGGATGGTGGGAAGAAGCAAGGAGGAGCTGGTTCTCATCTTGCCCGCAAGGTTGGAGGAGGAGCCTGGGTAGGAAGGGGAGGATAAGGGGGCAGGTTGGGTGTCAGGGTCTTCCTCTCACTCCCTCCTTCCCTCTTTTCGCTCTTTCCTCTTTACCCCAGGACCTGGAGGAGCTTGCCTTGTACCAGATCCAGCTGCTGAAGGACCTAAGACATATGGAGAATGAAGAGGACAAAGTCAGCTCCTCCAGCTTCCGTCAGCGAATGCTGGGAAACCTGCTTCAGCCTCCATATGTAAGCTCCTCTTTCTCCTTCCCGCCTGCCCTCCCTCCCTCCTGCTTGGATATGCTGGAGGGTAGAAGCTTAGGGGCTCAGCCCCAGGCATGAGGCTGAGGGCCCCAGTAACTGTGGGTTCACTTTAACCTACCCCCAGGAGAGGCCAGAGCTCCCCCCGAGTCTCTATGTGATTGGGCTGACTGGCATCAGTGGCTCTGGGAAAAGCTCAATAGCTCAGCGGCTGAAAGGCCTGGGGGCGTTTATCATTGACAGTGACCACCTGGGTCATCGGGCCTATGCCCCAGGTGGTCCTGCCTACCAGCCCGTGGTGAAGGCCTTTGGAACAGGTAATAACTGGGGGAAGCTGGGCGTGGCCTGGAGTGAGGAGCTGGCCAGGCCTCTGTGTTCAGCCCTCTCGCTCTTTTGTCCAGATATTCTCCATAAAGATGGCACCATCAACAGGAAGGTCCTAGGCAGCCGGGTGTTTGGGAACAAGGTAAATGACAGCTGCCTAAGGGCTCCTAAGCCTCGACTAAACCCAGGGGTCAGAGTCCTGTGGACCTCTGTGGTCTGGCCCAGAATGCCGATTCCACTCACCTGTTCCCAACACCACCTTGCTTGGGCTGGCTCCTTCTAGAGAAAGTAACTTCTGCCCACACCCTCTGTTCCCCTCCCCAGAAGCAGCTGAAGATCCTTACGGACATTATGTGGCCAATTATCGCAAAGCTGGCCCGAGAGGAGATGGATCGGGCTGTGACTGAGGGTGAGTGGGAGGGAGGATGGGGACAGTTAAGCTGATTCTTCCCCGCCGGCAGCTTCCCTGCCCCAGGTGGGACTGTCTGCTCTCCCTGGGACTGTGTTTTGTGGGCGCTCTGCCTGGGAGAGCATCAGCGCTGTTGGCGGTGACTGGGGTCTCCCCACAGGAAAGCGTGTGTGCGTGATTGATGCTGCTATGCTGCTTGAAGCCGGCTGGCAGAACCTGGTCCATGAGGTGTGGACTGTTGTCATCCCTGAGACTGAGGTATCTCGGCCGCACCCCCAACACCATCCCTACTGCATACTCTATCCTGCTGAGCTGGAATTCTTCCTGACAAATGCCTCGTCTGTACCCAGGCTGTAAGACGCATTGTGGAGAGGGATGGCCTGAGTGATGCCGCGGCTCAAAGCCGGCTGCAGAGCCAGATGAGCGGGCAGCAGCTTGTGGAACAGAGCCACGTGGTGCTCAGCACCCTGTGGGAGCCGCATATTACCCAGCGCCAGGTTGGTGCCCAGGGCAAGGCTGGGCTATGGGGAAGGAGTCTCTAGTGGGTGCTGCCTGACCCCACCCTCTCTTCCTTCCAACACCTGTCTGAAGGTGGAGAAAGCCTGGGCCCTTCTGCAGAAGCGCCTTCCCAAGACTCATCAGGCCCTCAACTGAAAAGGGGTTCTCAGTGGGGCCAGACTGGCCCCTGGAGCTGACAAGCGACTGGGCAGTCAGGAGAAATGGGGGCCTTGATGCTCACCCTGGTTCAGGCCCAGAGGTCAAAGCTACGCTGTGCGGCACATGGCCAAGCCTGGTGGACACAGGAGGCCTACCCAGCACACTGGTACCTGGCCAACACTGAGGATGTGGTTTGTGGGGGAAGCAGGCCCCTCCCCACTCTTGCCTATGGGTGTCTGTGATACCCACAGCTGACTAGGGTTGGGGCAAGTACTGGAACCTGTAATAGAAATAAAGTGTATGTTCCCAGGTGTTGCCTGTATGGTATCTGCTTCCTGCTCCATTGCCTGTAGGTATCTTTGGGATGCTTAAGCCACAAGTGCAGGACGCAGGCCTGTGCTGGAAGCCTAGGAGTGCAGTGATTAAGAGGATGGCCTTTGAAGTGAGCCAGAGGTGAGCCCTGGCCCTCCCACTGACCAGCTGTGTGCTTTTGAGTAAGTTGTAGACTTCTAGGTACTGCGGTTTTTTTGTTTTTAATCTGAGAGGCCGCACAACCTAGCTAGCGGACTCTTTGCAGGGGTTCATTCCACACGGGTCCTGCCAGACACAGGGCTGGGTGTTGGAAGATGAGCATTCGACGTGCCAGGCGGGGCCTCTGCCCTCACAGAGCTTGCAGCCAGTGGGGTCGGACGATGTGGCTGGCGGGGGTAGGGGGTGGGGTGGGGTCGGGTGGGGGAGACTCTCTGCTCGACTCCTGACACGTGGGCCAGCACTGCAGGTCCGGGGCGCGGGGAGGTCGCCCGCAGGTAACGTGGGGCCTGACAGTGCACAGCTGGATCTGGTACAATCTGCGGTGGTGTGCAGACAAGCCAACTGAGGGGACTCCATCTTACAGAACGCGCCTCGTGTCGCCGCCAGTCCAGTGCCTAACCCAGGAAGGGCAGGCACGTCGGGGAACAGTCCCAAAGGCGGCCGGCTCTAGTCCAAGCGCTGGGCTTTGACGGCTGGAGCCCGGGAGTAAAGTATTTGGACCGCGCATGCGCGATGCTCTTGCCCTGCCCCGCCTCTCGATCGCGGATTGGTGAGCGCGGGTCCCGTGGGAGCACCTCCCTCTTCCTCGCCGCCGGGGCCGGCCCGCTGGCTCATTTCCGGTCCGGTGGGTCCAAGATGACGGAGTCGGGCGCCTCTCCGGAGGACCCCTGGGTCAAGGCAAGCCCCGTGGGCGCGCACGCCGGCGAGGGTAGGGTGGGTCGGGCTCGTGCACGTAGGGGGGCCGGATGACTAGGGGCTTCCCTCCTGTCCCCAAAGTCCCCTGTGCTCTCCCTGCCCCGGGGCTGCAGAGAAGTCAACTCTCACCCCGGGTGTGCCAAGGTGGGGAAACAAACGAAGCGTGTGCGCGCGAGTGGGGAGAACGGGGGGCTGGGGTGAAGTCGGGGCGAAAGGGATCATACAGAGGGGCGGCGCTTGCACGGCCTAGCCCGTGCCAGTCTCGGGGGAATCATTAAGCTGCCCGGGCACCCCGGGCCGTGTGTGTGCGCGCGCGCGCGCGCAGGGTGACAGGCGCCTTCCCCGGATGGAGGGCGCGCTTTGCGTGCCTGCAGGAACAGGGACACCTCTTCCCCGGGGCGGAGGTCTGACGGGCTTCTCCTGTGCTCTGTGCCGCAGGTGGAATATGCCTACAGCGACAACAGCCTGGACCCCGGTGAGTAGCTACCCCATCTTAAGCTCTAGAGCAGGCGTCCCCAAACTACGGCCCGCGGGCCGCCTGCGGCCCCCTGAGGCCATTTATCTGGCCCCCCGCCGCACTTCAGGAAGGGGCACCTCTTTCATTGGTGGTCAGTGAGAGGAGCACAGTATGTGGCGGCCCTCCAGCGGTCTGAGGGACAGTGAACTGGCCCCCTGTGTAAAAAGTTTGGGGACGCCTGCTCTAGAGGGTCACTCCCGCCTCGGCTTTCTCGATTCTTGTGACGTTATCAGCCACACCTGAGCACAGTCCACTGTCCCTGAGCAGAGTTCCTGGCTTGAGACAGCAGGAGCTGAAGGACAGGGACAGAAAACAACCGAGGGTAACGTCTAGTTCCCTCTGCTGTGGAACAGGGAAGTGTTGGAACTAGTGGTAGCTGATCACTCACAGCCTCATCACGTCCAGATAGATGCCCGTTTCTGAGCCAGGGGGTATCATGTAGGTCTATGGGGCAGTGTAGACACGAGGGACCAGAACATTGCAGCGTGGTCTGGCAGAAAGTGGGGGGCCCAGTATGGTTGGCTTTGGGTTGAAATGAAGAGGTCAGCATTTAAGAAAGCCATTGTCGGCCGGGCGTGGTGGCTCACACCTGTAATCCCAGCACTTTGGGAGGCCGAGGTGGGCGGATCATGACGTCAAGAGATCGAGACCTGGTGAAACCCCATCTCTACTAAAAATACAAAAAAAAAAAAAAAAAAGCCATTGTGTCCCACAGGTGTCTGAGGTTCTGGCAGTGTTGCTCACCCCACCCCTTAGTGATTGGGCCTCTCTTTTTTCAGGGCTTTTTGTAGAAAGCACCCGCAAGGGGAGCGTAGTGTCCAGAGCTAATAGCATTGGTTCCACCAGCGCCTCTTCTGTCCCCAACACAGGTAGGCAGCAATATCCTCCCCACCTAGGGGGGCTCAGATATGCCATAATTGCAGTACCTTTCCTAGACAGGGAAGTGCCAGCCATCCACATGGGGGTGGTGGAGCCAAAGGATCCGACACAGGATCTCACCATCTTTCACCTCATCTAGAACATTCAGTTCTTCTCTACATCTGCCATCTCTGGCACCAGGTTCTTCCCAGCTGGGGAAAGGTGGGCTAGCTGGTCCCCGCTGGGCCCCAGGATGACCTTTCCCTGCCCCCACCTCTGAGCATAGATGACGAGGACAGTGATTACCACCAGGAGGCCTACAAGGAATCCTACAAAGACCGGCGGCGGCGCGCACACACTCAGGCTGAGCAGAAGAGGAGGGACGCCATCAAGGTGACCAGGGGAGGCCTCCACCTCAGCCAGTGTAGGAGGGCCCTGCACAGTTCAGCTTCCCTGTGCCCTGACCCGTTCAGACAGTCCCAGGCACCTTTGGGGGCAGCTAATCTAGTCCCGGGCACAGAGACTCCTGTTGAGTTTGTGAACATAGAACTTGGTGTCACGGAAGGAATTTGTGCCAGTCTGCCTTAATCTCTCAGGGTTAAGGAACCCATTTCCCCTGCTGTCTCCACAGAGAGGCTATGATGACCTTCAGACCATCGTCCCCACTTGCCAGCAGCAGGACTTCTCCATTGGCTCCCAAAAGCTCAGCAAAGCCATCGTTCTGCAAAAGAGTATGGCAAGGGAAAGCCCTGGAGGGGTTGGAGCCAAGAGGGGCTGTGAAGAGGCCAGCGCCTCCTACCCTCCCGTGGCCAGGCCCTGGTGGGTGGTTGCCATGGGATAGTTGGGGTCTGGGGAAGGGGAGCAAAGTCAGCCTTGTCTTCCTGGTTGAGATTACTTCTGTGTCTACCCTCTTCCTGCCCCCACCCTAGCCATTGACTACATTCAGTTTTTGCACAAGGAGAAGAAAAAGCAGGAGGAGGAGGTGTCCACATTACGAAAGGATGTCACGGCCCTAAAGATCATGAAAGTGTAAGGGATGCTGAATGGGGGGAACCGGAGCTTCTGAGGCAATTTCATTGCACATCTTCCCTTGTTCAAAGGCCACATCAGTTACTACAGTACAGATGCTACCCTCAGTTCCTAAGCTAGCCAGTAGAAGGACTGTGTATTCCCAACTGTCTTTACGAATGGCAGACACTCAGGAAACACCTGTTGGATTAATGAAGGGAAGGTTGGAGAGAGGGTCACCATTCCTGGCCTAGTAGCAGTTATCTCCCTGATATTGAACCCCACCCTGTTCATCTCTGGGGATGCCACTCCTGGGAGTACACAGGATAGCCCCATCATGCCTGAGTGGGCGGAGCCTCTGCAGCACCCCAGCCCTGACCTGCATGCTTACAGGAACTATGAGCAGATTGTGAAGGCACACCAGGACAACCCCCATGAAGGGGAGGACCAGGTCTCTGACCAGGTCAAGTTCAACGTGTTTCAAGGCATCATGGACTCCCTGTTCCAGTCCTTCAATGCCTCCATTTCGGTGACCAGCTTCCAGGAGCTGTCAGCCTGTGTCTTCAACTGGATTGAGGAGCACTGTAAGCCTCAGGTATGGGACAACGGGCCTGTGGTTTTCTCTACTGTCAGGCAAAGTGGCCCAAGCCATCAGTGTTGAGAAAAGCAGCTGCTTCTAGATTTTTCGAGAGTATTTCTACAACGTTCAGGACTCTTGTATTTTCCCTTTTCTTTGCTAACCTACATCTTCATGTTACGGTTTCATTTGGCAAGTGTGATATGAGCTCAGTGTCAAGTCCAGCTCTTGGCTTTTGTCTAGCCCATGCTGTGGCTGCCCTGTATGGAAGCCCCAGGCAGCTGCAGAATTGGAAACATGCAAATTCTAGGACCCTACCTCCAGGCCCACTAAAGTCATTGCCCAAGAGCTTTTTATTATTTATTTAAAGTGGGGAAATATGCTAATGGTATTGCACTAAGTTTTCTAATTGAAGTCTGGTTGCTTTTTCTGAGGCTTTAAACTTGTGTCTGAGATTCTTGTGCCTTTCCCAACATTTTTTATTGTGAAACGTTATATTTATTGTGATGTTAAGAGGACTTTACAGTGACCACTTGTATACATCCTACCTAAATTTTACTGAAAACATTTTGCTGTATTTCCATCTCTTTTTTTTTTTTTTTTTTTTTTGAGACAGAGTTTCGCTCTTGTTACCCAGGCTGGAGTGCAATGGCGCGATCTCAGCTCACCGCAACCTCCGCCTCCTGGGTTCAGGCAATTCTCCTGCCTCAGCCTCCCGAGTAGCTGGGATTACAGGCACGTGCCACCATGCCCAGCTAATTTTTTGTATTTTTAGTAGAGACGGGGTTTCACTGTTGACCAGGATGGTCTCGATCTCTTGACCTCGTGATCCACCCGCCTCGGCCTCCCAAAGTGCTGGGATTACAGGCTTGAGCCACCGCGCCCGGCCTTTTTTTTTTTTTTTTTGAGATGGAGTCTTGCTCTGTTGCCCAGGCTGGAGTGCAATGGTGCGATCTCGGCTCACTGCACCCTCCGCCTCCCGGGTTCAAGCAATTCTCCTGCCTCAGCTTCCCAAGTAGCTAGAATTACAGGTGCCTGCCACCACGTGACTAATTTTTGTGTTTTTAGTAGAGACAGGGTGGCCATCAGGCTAGTCTCAAACTCATGACCTCAGGAGATCCACCCACCTTGGCCTCTCAAAGTGTTGGGGTTACAGGCATAAGCCACCGTGTTCGGTCTGTATTTCCATCTCTCCATCCTATTTCAGGAACACCTCAAAGTAAACTGCAGACATCAGTACTTCTTGGGGGAATTTTGTTTTGTTTTTAGACAGTCACTCTGTCACCTAGGCTGGAATGTAGTGGTGTCATCTCAGCTCACTGCAACCTCTGCCTCCCAGTTTCAGGCGATTCTTGTATCTCAGCCTCCTGAGTAGCTGGGACTACAAGTATGTGCCACCACACCCAGCTAATTTTTGTATTTTTAGCGGAGACAGGGTTTTACCATCTTGGCCAGGCTGGTCTTAAGCAGGTGATCTGCCAGCCTTGGCCTCCTAAAGTGCTGAGATTACAGGTATAAACCACTGCACCTGACCTGGGGCGGCGGGCTTTTTTTTTTTTTTTTTTTTTTTTTAAAAAAAAGACAATCTCACTCTGTTGCCAGGACTAGTGTGCAGGGTGAGGTCTTGGCTAATCTTTACAATCTCCACCTTCTGTGTTCAAGCTATTCTCCTGCCTCAGCCTTCCAGGTAGCTGGAATTGTGGTCATGTGTCACCATGCCCGGCTAATTTTGTATTTTTAGGAGAGACAGGGTTTCTCCATGTTGGTCAGGCTGGTCTCAAACTCCCGACCTCAGGTGATTCACCTGCCTCAGCCTCCCAAAATGCTGGGATCACAGGCATGAGCCACTGTGCCCAGCCCCTGGGGGGCTATTTTTTTTTTTTCTCTGAGACGGAGTTTCGCTGTTGTTACCCAGGCTGGAGTGCAATGGCACGATCTCGGCTCACCGCAACCTCCACCTCCTGGGTTCAAGCAATTCTCCTGCCTCAGCCTCCCAAGTAGCTGGGACTACAGGCATGCACCACCACGCCCGGCTCCGGGGGGCTGTTTTTAACACACTTTATTCTAAAGTACATGGCTGATCTAGGCAGGCATCTTTGAAACTACTCTGTGCCCTGACATGAGCATTGTCTATTTCTTCCTCTGCTGCCCTCACCAGACCCTGCGGGAGATCGTGATTGGCGTCCTGAACCAATTGAAAAACCAGCTTTACTGACTAGTTCTTGGAAAGCTGCAGAACAGCCAAGAGGCCTGTGAATCTCTACTTGGCCACTGAACTGCTGGGCCCATGAGATTGGACTGCAACACCTCACACTGGTCAGCTGGTTTCTACTTGGTGTTTGGTTTCTCCCATCCCTGTTTTATCTTCAGCGGAGCTGGGGTGTTTTGTGAAAGTTTGATTAATTTATTATATTGACGATAAAACTCAAAACCTACCCAGCCTTCCCCTGCATCCCCCGCTCCTGCCCATAGAAGTCCTTGGTGGGCATCTGCTCTGGACATCCCAAAGAGCTCCTGCCCTCTCAGCCCTTTTTCCAAGCCTCAGATTTCTGCCCATGAGCTACATAGATTTGGAAACTGTTTGCCTGTTTTGGTCTCTTGGGCAATATTTGGCTCAAGTTTGGGCATTTTGGCAGTAGCTGGATGGGAGAAAAAGGAAGAAGAAATATCTCACAGCTGTGGGGGTGAAAGGCCACCTTGTGCCTACACTGGGGCTGCCTGGTCACTCCCAGGTAAGGCTAAGGGCTTTCTGGCTATCTCAGGGCAGGACCACCACGTACCTCTCCTAGGCTCCATATTCCATCACCTTCCTTACGCTCTAGGTGGTAAGGGAGGCCCTTCTGGTTCCCACAGGCTGTGGTGCTGCATGACAGAGGCAGGTATAACACACATAAAAATTGAAATTTATTTTTCTAAAACCAGTGCAGCTTTGCTATAGTTACAATTTTGAAATATTAACTGGGGCTCAAAACCACCACTCAGCCTTTCTGTCAAGCATGGCTGTCACCCCTCCCATGTCTGTGTTGCCTGCATTTTTCCCAGGACTTACGGGTGGAGTGAAAGGGTACAGAACGTACGTGAAAGGTCTCCTGGGGTACACAAGTCCACCAGAGTCCGGAGTGAGGCTTTGGGCCCTCCAAATTCTGGTTTATAACAACCTCGCTCTACCCTCGTCCTCCAGGTTCACTTCTGCCTTCCTCAGGTTTGATATCTGGCAGGTTTGACTACCCAGAGGAAATTCAATATTTTTTTATCAAATGAAATTACAATAAATACTGCCAAATGCTTTCTTTCAGCATTGTTCCATGTGTAAGTGTTAAGCTCAAGCAACTGGAATGTAGACAATGAAATGGGCTGGGTCCACCCCCAGCCATCAGCCCTCATCCTCTACCCACTGCTCTGGTTTATACCCATCTCCTGACTGCTCTGCTCAAAGGTGAAAAGCAGCAGGAACAACAAAAGCCAACCAAAACAAGGCAGCCAGTCCAGGACATCTTCCTCTTCGACATCCTGCAGTCCCACCACGGGCCCCTCAGGGGTCTGGGAGTGTGACATTGCAATCTTCATCTGTCTCTATCCCAACCTCCTCCTGTGGGACAGGGAGACAAGTCAATGAGCTGTCACTAGGAGAAGACCCCAGGGAAGCAAAGAAGGGAGAGAGTACCACTTACAAAGAACTGCTTCTTGCTCTTGGGGTATCCTTCAAGGATTGCATCAGACAGCTCTGTAGCCTGATGAGAAATAAAACCATGCCTTTTAAGATGGGCAGCATTGGATACTGGCTGTCAGACAGTTTATGATATTGTGTAGCAGTTGATCTGGTACCTGCCATTTTCTTTTCTTTTCTTTTTTTTTTTTTTTTTGAGACAGAGTTTTGCCCTTGTTACCCAGGCTGGAGAGCAATGGCGCGATCTCGGCTTACCACAACCTCCGCCTCCTGGGTTCAGGCAATTCTCCTGCCTCAGCCTCCTGAGTAGCTGGGATTACAGGCATGTGCCACCGTGCCCAGCTAATTTTTTTTTTTTTTGTATTTAGTAGAGACGGGGTTTCACCATGTTGACCAGGATGGTCTCGATCTCTTGACCTTGTGATCTGCCCGCCTTGGCCTCCCAAACTGCTGGGATTACAGGTGTGAGCCACCGTGCCCAGCACCTGCCATTTTCAAAAGCACTTCTAGGGCCTGTCTCAGAGCTCCCACACACTTACCATCCTCTTCCTCTTCCTCCACTCCTTATAGTACTTCTGCCTCTCTCTGTATACCTAGAAGGAGAAAGCAAGTTCCTCTAACTCCTCAGAACCACAACAGCCCTCATGCTCACTCTGGACCTGCACAGTGGCCCTGCAGCCTTCCAGCTCACCTGTTCTTTCTCTTCTGGAGTCACATGATTAGTAGCTGCTTTAATGTTCTTCAGTCTCTCTCTGTAGCCAGCACATTCCTTCTTTAACTCCTGGATTTCTTTCTGCATCTCCGGTGTGGTCAAGGCACTAGATAATTCCTTGAGCTCTGAAACCACATCCCCCTGGGGTCACTTGCTACCCCTGAGGAAGGAGTTTGTCTTTCCCAGTAGGTGCTCCCTGAGGTGGGAGACAGGCTTCCACCTTGCTCTGGATCTATCCAGAATAGTTTCACATTATGGAAATGCTCAAGAAACTAAGCCTCAAGGGATTATCAGTTTAGTCTTCTAATTTTCTTTCCTCCTCCATCTATTAGTAGTAGCATGGGTGTGAGGCTGAACACTTAAGTGTAGCCAGTTAAAGAAGCAGGAAGAAAGGGAAATGTGAGGACAGTGTACTGATAAGCACGGCAGGGACAGCAAATGTGCATCGAGTCCATTCACTGGTACACAGAAGCTATTAGTTATCCTACATTTCTTTTTTAACACCTAAGGGAGCCCAGCAAAGGGTCTTAGCTGCAACAAGATGATGCAGTCAGTGACCCATTCATTTAGCAATTCCTGACCTCTAGAATGAATTTGAGCCTATGGGCACTTTTGAGGGGCTACCCAGTCCTACCAGCCTCCATGTAGCGGCAGCTCTGCTGCAAGCTCTGCACCTTAGCAGTGAGGGCCACGATTTTGGCATCTAGGCCTTGAAGGTCTGCATCACTCACCATGTCAAACTGGTCCTGCCAGACAAGAAGGAAAATACAAGCAAACTGTTGTAAGCCACAGATGGGAACACACACCTGGGAAGGCAGCATTTAGATACACTTGAGAACCAGCCATGCCCCAGGCTCTCCCAGAGGGTCTGCAGAAATAGTGGGAGGGTGATTATGAGAAATCATTTTTAGTTGAGGAGCAATCCCACTAGAAAGGTAGAAAAGAAAGGTTGAAATTGAATGCCTGTTCTTAAGCAGCTACCAGGTAGACAGGCTACTGAATAGGACAGAAATCTTCCTATTTAGTGATAAAACCACTACTTGGGCTGAAGGAGTTAAGTAACATTGTTCTCAAGGTGGGGAAACCTAGATCATAGGTTTCTACAATAGGCAGAAACTGGACAGGTGAAGAGGCATGATGGATGGATTTTTCTCTTCTCCTTCCTGAATTTCCTTCCCTCCTTCCTTCCTTCCATCTCCCTCCCTCCCTTCCCTCTTTTTCTCCCGCTCTCACCCTGGCCAAAGTGCAGTGCTGCGATCTCTGCTCACTGCAACCTCCACCTCCCGCCTTCAAGTGATTCTCATGCCTCAGCCTCCCGAGCAGCTGGGATTACCGGCGCACGCCACCAAGCACAGCTAAATTTTATATTTTTAGTAGAGATGGGGTTTCACCATGTTGCCCAGGCTGGTCTCAAACTCCTGGGCTCAAGTCATCCATCTACCTTTTCCTCCCAAAGTGCTGGGATTACACTCTGTGTGTCAGCCACTGTGCTGGGCCTTGGGATCCATTTAGATAAGGGATTCCAGTAAGTCTGAGGAGCTCCTCTCATGAGGGGCCACTGCTAGAAAAGAGAACTGCATTGGGGATCAGTATGGGGTGGGGGGGGTTTGGGAGGGTATCATCAGTTGGTGATAGGAAGCACGTTGAAAAAGTGTGCCAGCTAGTGCAGTCTGGACTCTACACCTGGACAAGGTGAACCTACAGAGCAGAGGCCAGCTAACTACAGCCAGCAAGCCAAATCCTGCCAGATGCATTTTTATTTAAGAGATGGGGTTTCACCGTGTTGGCCAGGTTTGTCTTTTTTTTTTTTTTTTTTTTTTTTTTTGAGACGGAGTTTCGCTCTTGTTACCCAGGCTGGAGTGCAATGGTGCGATCTCGGCTCACCGCAACCTCCGCCTCCTGGGTTCAGGCAATTCTCCTGCCTCAGCCTCCTGAGTAGCTGGGATTACAGGCACGCACCACCATGCCCAGCTATTTTTTTTGTATTTTTAGTAGAGACGGGGTTTCACCATGTTGACCAAGATGGTCTCGATCTCTTGACCTTGTGATCCGCCCGCCTCGGCCTCCCAAAGTGCTGGGATTACAGGCTTGAGCCACCGCGCCCGGCCCAGGTTTGTCTTGAACTCCTGACCTCGTGATCCACCCATCTCGGCCTCCCAAAGTGCTAGGATCACAGGCGTGAGCCACCGCGCCCAGCCAGATGCATGTTTTTGAAAACAATTTTATTGAAACAGCTCCACCCATTCATTTACATAGTCTACAGCTGCTTCTGCTCTACAGTGGCAGTTGTACAGATAAAGGACCATATGGCTCACAAATCCTAAAAATACTGTCTGGTCATCTACAGAAAAAGTTTGCCAAACCCTCCTTTAGATAATTTTCTTTAGATAAGTAACACAATGAAGCCTTTTAGAAAAGTTAGCCTTGAAAGTGGTTTGGTTCAGTTTAACTAGTGTTTAAATCTACTGGATGTTAGAAAATGTGGAGGTTTTGCTCAGATAAAAATGAATTGAGAAATGGTGTTTGCCCTAGAGGAACTTCAGTTGAATAAAGGAGACAAGTAAAAATAATTGTAATACAGCATGCCTCAAAAGAGGCAAGGGCCTGACAAAGAAACAATTCGCTCAGAGCATTCAATTCAAGGAAGATTTCTGGAGAAGGTGATGCCCAAGTGAAATCCTAAAGGAAAGTAAGAGTTGGTCAGACAGAGAAGCAGATACAGGGAAGACAACATCCAAAGGACAGAGCAGTAAAACACATCAGAATTACCTAGTGTTTTTTTTTTTTTTTTTTTTTGAGACGGAGTTTCGCTCTTGTTACCCAGGCTGGAGTGCAATGGCACGATCTCGGCTCACCGCAACCTCCGCCTCCTGGGTTCAGGCAATTCTCCTGCCTCAGCCTCCTGAGTAGCTGGGATTACAGGCACACGCCACCATGCCCAGCTAATTTTTTGTATTTTTTTTTTTTTTTTGAGACAGAGTTTCGCCCTTGTTACCCAGGCTGGAGTGCAATGGCGTGATCTCGGCTCACCGCAACCTCCGCCTCCTGGGTTCAGGCAATTCTCCTGCCTCAGCCTCCCGAGTAGCTGGGATTACAGGCACGCACCACCGTGCCCAGCTAATTTTTTGTATTTTTAGTAGAGACGGGGTTTCACCATGTTGACCAGGATGGTCTCGATCTCTCGACCTCGTGATCCACCCGCCTCAGCCTCCCAAAGTGCTGGGATTACAGGCTTGAGCCACCGTGCCCGGCCTAATTTTTTGTATTTTTAGTAGAGACGGGGTTTCACCATGTTGACCAGGATGGTCTCGATCTCTCGACCTCGTGATCCACCCGCCTCGGCCTCCCAAAGTGCTGGGATTACAGGCTTGAGCCACCGCGCCCGGCCTACCTAGTGTTGATGGATAGAAAAATGATTGGTGGCCGGGCGCGGTGGCTCAAGCCTGTAATCCCAGCACTTTGGGAGGCCGAGGCGGGTGGATCACAAGGTCGAGAGATCGAGACCAACCTGGTCAACATGGTGAAACCCCGTCTCTACTAAAAATACAAAAAATTAGCTGGGCATGGTGGCGCGTGCCTATAATCCCAGCTACTCAGGAGGCTGAGGCAGGAGAATTGCCTGAACCCAGGAGGCGGAGGTTGCAGTGAGCCGAGATCGTGCCATTGCACTCCAGCCTGGGTAACAAGAGCGAAACTCCGTCTCAAAAAAAAAAAAAAAAGAAAAAGAAAAATGATTGGTGAGGCCAGAAGCTGGCTAGGGCACCTTCCCATGCCTTTTACATGTTCTATGCAGCTCCGGAGAGCTGTTGAAGAGTTTTAAATAGGGAAGGTGCATGACCAGATCTATTAGACATATCATTCTGACTGCAGTGTTGAAGATATGTTTGAAGAGACAAGATCTGTTAAGAGGATATTGCAATAGATGAAAAGGGTGTGAAGTGGAGCAGCCACGACAGATGGAAAAGAGTAGATTCAAGAATGGAAAAATTAGCCAGGCTCGGTGGCTCACACCTGTTATCTTAGCACTTTGGGAGGATCATCTGAGCCCAGGAGTTCCAAGACCAACTTGGGCAACATAGCAAGACCCACCTCTATAAAAAGTCACACCTGTAATCCTGGCGAGGCCGAGGCAGGTGGATCATGAGGTCAGGTGTTCAAGATCAGCCTGACCAACAACCAACATGGTGAAACCCTGTCTCTACTAAAAATACAAAAATTAGCTGGGCATAGTGGTGGAGGAACATCATTTGGCAATTTGGCAGAGGGTGTTGCTAATCTAGATAAGGAATAAGCTTTGGGGTGCGGAAATGGATCTTGGTGGCAACAATACAGTATCATCTCTCATCTATCTGTATTCCAGCTACTCAGGCAGCTGAGGCAGGAGAATCACTTGAAACTGGGAGGCGGAGGTTGCAGTGAGCCCAGACTGTGCCACTGTACTCCAGCCTGGTGACACAGTGAGACTCCATCTCAAAAAAAACAAAAAGCAAACAAAAAAAACCCACACTCAAAAATCAGCCGGACTTGATGGCTGAGTAGACGTGAGTAAAGGAAGTAAAGAATTGCTCCCAAGTTTCTGGGTTGGGTGAAGAGTGATTCCATTAGGAGAGAAGAATGTTAGAAGCCAGTCTGGGGTGCTGGGAAGATGAGGCATTCTACGGTGGCAATTTTGACTGATACTAATGCCTGACAAATTCCAGCTGAAGGTCTGGGCTGGAGAATATAAATTTGATGTGTGTGTTTAGAGAAGCGAATGGAGGCAGGAGGAATCTCGTTTGGCAATTTGGCAGAGGGTGTTGCTAATCTAGATAGTAAGCAATAAGCTTTGGGGCGGAAATGGGTCTTGGTAGTAACAATACAGGATCTTCGGTCATTTATCATATCGTAAATCTGGAAACTTCGTGAAGTTTGGATCCTAATGGGTACACACCCTGATTTAAGGATATCCGAGGCCCTTTTAGTGGCCTACGACAGGTGAGTTTTCCACAGGGGGGCCTCTCCCCAAAAAAGCTGACACTAGATTCACTCGTCGGGCCCTTATGGGTGATAATCGGCGCAAGTTCTCCTCACCTGATCTGCAAAATAGATCTTCTGCTTGCCGTACATCTTCTCTTTGATCTTGCCTTGTTGCGCCAGCTGCTCGAGCGTCTTCACCACCACCTGGCAGAGGGGAGGGGCAATCAGGAGTCTGGGCCCGAGTCGGGAAATTCAGCCAGTGATGGGGAAGGCGCCCAAGGCTCCAGAGGGCACGACCCCAGAGAGTCCGACGGAGAGGGAATCCCGGGAGAGGTTCCTCACCGCCTTGCCCAGCCCGTGTTCCCGCTGTAGGTTCCCGAACACATCCTGGGCGCTGTAGGGCCGGTTCTGCTCCTGCAGGTACCTCAGGAGGATCCCGGCGGCTACGGAGACAGGGGCAAGGGAGGGGGCCACTCAACCGACCTCCTCACCCACTGCCCTCCCGGGTCTTCCCCGCGTGCACGCCGCCGTTACCTCCCGCCGCAGCTTCTGCCCGGCTTTTACTCATCGCCTTTCCCGCCACCCAACTCAGAAAGCCGGACGTTGTAGTTGCTCGGGGCGACGGCTCCTTCCGGCGACGGGGGCGGGCCTCGAGCAGTGATTGGCTGAAGAGGAAGCCTTCGGGAGAACAAGGCGACCCCTGCCGAACGCCAAAGTTCATTTCAGGGCGGAACTTGCGCATCCGGGCTGGAGCTCACGCCATGGGCCTCTGCGAAGGCGCCGGCGTACTGCGGGGTTAGAAACATCCCCTTTCCGTCCCCGGGAACGAAGGCTGTAGCAGAGAAGGCCTTCAAGTTTCGAGACCCAGTTCCAGCCGCAGCTGAGCACTGGTAACCTTGAGTTAGGTCGAGTGTTGGGATTGGAAGGCGCTTCAGGCATCAGCTGCCGCTCTGTGCAAGCGAGCATCTCAACGTTATCCCACAGTGACGTGCCATAATCCCATGGTCCAGTGCCCTGTCGTCGGTTGGTTTTGTCATTTGTAAAACAGGAACAGTAGGTAGTGGTAGGAAAGTGGTTGTGAAAACTTAACAGAAAGCTAATTAAGCGCCTTGGTCGGGCGCGGTGGCATGTCACGCCTGTAATCCCTTCACTTTGAAGGGCCGAGGCGGGCGGATCGCTTGAGCCCAGGAATTCGAGATCAACCTGGGCAACATGAAACCCCATCTCTGCAAATAAAGGACAAAAAATTAGGCGTGGTGGCTTGGTGGTCCCAGCTACTCGAGGCTGAGGTGGGAGGATCACCAGAGATCGAGGCTGCAGTGAGTCATCATGAGCGTGCCACTGCACCCCATCCTGGGTGACAGAACAAGACCCTGTCTCGAACCAAAAAAAATGGGGTTGGGGTGATAGCGCCTAGAAGAGCACCCACCCTTATTTGCCTAATACCGAGCTTCGCACCCAGGGGGCACTCGACATCTGCTGTAATTCGGACGCCAGGAAAGGTAGGGTTAGGAGGGGGCTACTTTTCAACCACAAAGCTTGTGTAAAAGTTAGCCCAGTCAATCTCAAGGCAACACCTGACAGGTGCTTTCCACCCCTGACCACAGTGGCCAATGGGACAGAGCCTGAAATAAGTATTTCTAGTTTCTGAGGTCAGCTGAAGACCAAAGAGCAGCTGTCCCTGCACCTCAAACCATCCAGTGGAGGAGCAAGGTGCTACTTTTTAAAGCCTTCTGCTACCTACAACCTCCTTAGCCTTTAAGACGTGTGCTTGTCTGCATGTTTAGGAGACAATATTAAGAATTAGGAATGTACAAGCCACAGTGCTTAAAAAAAAATAGGAATGAAGGAAATACAGGCTAAATACTAGCCAAGAGTGCCAGTTACACTGAGGGTGGGGCTCTCACAGGAAGGAAAGTAGCCTCATATTATGGTGATACTCTGGCCATCACAAAGGAAAAACGAGTGGGCTGGTGGGTCCCTCATACCTGGGCTTCCTCTGTTAAGGCTATCACTTCAAATTAACCAGAACTCAGATTTACAAGAGAAGACCTATCAAGGATAGGACACCATTCAACATCAGAATCTTCAAGATTGTTCTCATACAAGATTTATTCCCCAACACACCCCTCCCCTCCTCAGTTCACAGTGGAGGACTATGGAGATTCAGAGCAGGATCCCCCAGGTACAGGAAACACCTTACGAAGATTTTGCTCTCCTTCCTTCCCTCCCTCTTGCCAACTCCCAGGGCCTGAAGCACACACTCATGCAAACTCACAAAATCCCCCTCCTTCCCCACACCTCTGTCTTTCCACATCAGCGCTCACCTGTAAGACATCTGAACTTGAGAAGAGAGGCCTCCAAAGTCTGTTTGAGAACCCTAAAGTGGGGAGATGCCGTATCCATGACCACCCCACTATGATTGACTATGAGACACCTAACTCTTCCCCCTTCTCACTGTTAACCATTTTCATTCCCTGGCCTCTGTACCTTCTCCATCAACCAAGAGCAAACATGTCAGCACACCCCCACCTGCAGTACATAAACAGGCTCTGTCCAACATCCCTCACCCAAGTACAGGGGTGTTGGGGGAGTGGCCCCTGAGGATCAGCAAAGGGTTAATGCAGAAGGAAAGAGGACAGAAGAGTTTGGCTTGAGCTCTGATTCGGGAGGCAGAGGCTATAGACTGGCACAGGTTTAGAACCAATTACCATGTTTAGGTTTTTGTCTCACATGATTTTACTAGGGGCTGCAGAACAGATACCCCTCAGAGGGGTCTCTACTGATTACAGCCACATTCTTACTATCGGCTCATCCTTAAAGGAGTCCCCACCAAGTGGGGAAGTAGTTGAAAATAAAAGCTGTAAAGGAGCTGAACAGGGAGTAACAACAGATGGTGCAAGAGCAGCTTGTGGCTCCTGGGATGAATGCCATAGAGCCATTTGTAAAGTGCTACCTTATCATCCCCCCATCAATTATTGCTTCTCCAAAGGAGGAGCAGGGGAAGGAACAGGAACGTAAAAATGAGTATGGTATTGCTTTGCTCACTGCTTAGGCTGATGGCCAAATGGACCCAGGGGTTGGCAGAAACCACACAGCTCCAGAAGACTGAGACCTCAAAATACAGAGGTTCTTACTAATCTTCCCAGCCAGCTGATCCCCCCGGGGCCAAGGTAATGTAGAAGAGGCCCATCCCCTCATCATACTCACATTTCTTAAATTTCACAAGCAATATTTTGGAGCACTGGGGTTCAGGCCTCAAGAAATGAGGATGGGCTAGAGGAGAGGGAGCAGGCCTGTTCTATAAAACCAAAGGATAAATTTACTTTAAAAAAAAAAAAAAAAAAAAAAAAAAAAGCCTGGGCACAGTGGCTCACGCCTGTAATCCTAGCACTTTGGGAGGCTGAGGCGGGCGGATCATGAGGTCAGGAGATCGAGACCATCCTGGCCATGGTGAAACCCCATCTCTACTAAAATACAAAAAGTTAGCCAGGTGTATAGCATATGCCTGTAGTCCCAACTACTCAGGAGGCTGACGCAGGGGAATTGCTTGAACCCGGGAGACGGAGGTTGCAGTGAGCCAAGATCGTGCCACTGCACTCCTGCCTGGTAACAGAGCAAGACTCCATCTCAAAAAAAAAAAAAAAAAAAAAAAAAAAGCACACTGGGCACAGTGGCTCATGCCTGTAATCCCAACACTTTGGGAGGCTGAGGCGGGTGGATCATTTGAGGTCAGGAGTTCGAGACCAGCCTGGCCAACATGGTGAAATCCTGTCTCTACTAAAAATACAAAAAAATTAGCCGCACATGGTGGCACATGCCTATAATCTCGGCTACTCAGGAGGCTGAGGCAGGAGAACTGCTTCAGCCAGGCGGTGGAGGTTGCAGTGAGCCGAGATTGCCCCACTGTACTCCAGCCTGGGCAACAAAGCAAGACTCTGTCTCAAAAAGAAAAAATCAAATCCTGGTTTAACAAAAGAATATGACTGATCTCAGCACTCTGGGAGGCCAAGGCAGGCTGATCACTTGAGGTCAGGAGTTTGAGATGAGCTTGGCCAACACAGTGAAACCCCATTTCTACTAAAAATACCAAAAAAAAAATTAGCTGGGCATAGTGGCGGGCACCTATAATCCTACTACTCAGTAGGCTGTGGCAGGAGAGCCTCTCGAACCTGGGAGGCAGAGGTTGCAGTGAACCAAGATGACGCCACTGCACTCCAGCCTGGATGACAGAGTGAAACTGTCTCAAAAAAAAAAAAAAAAAAGAGTAAGATGATGACAATGTAACTATACCTGACTTTGGGGGCTCTAGGGAGGCGATGAAGGTAGGCAGGCATGGGCTCTTCAGTGGGGCCCCTAAACACTCATACCTAAAGGCAAACAGCAGCACCTCCTCAAAGGGGAACCAATATCCCTGACTACTTTGTTCCCCAAAGTACCATCCTGATGGAGAGAAGCCTCCCTTGAGGGAGCACACTCTCACTCAGTGACTGAGCTCAGAAATGGGCATCCAGCTGGTGGGAGGGGAGTTGAGTGTCCTCTCTAAGCAAGCTTCTGAGCATCAGCCAGGCCACCCAGCATACAAATATAATTCAGGGGAGGGGCGGTTGATTTCTTCCCTTGCCCCATCACCTTAAGTGAGATGGGGAGAAAAAAAACTTAAATCACAGTGACTCCCAAAGAGAGTCTCTGCCTCAGTGGCTCCTTGAACTGGCAGGGTCCAGCTGGTTCAGCTCCGACTGGTCCAAAAGTTCAAAGTCATCCCCCTCTGCATCAGTGTCCAGGTCTGAACTGGGGGATCGGAGGAAGCCTCTCGTTGCTCTCTGGGCAGGTGCGCCAGAAGGACCTGGTTGGGAGGCCCCTGACAAGGCCAGCTGAATCATACCCTGGGAGACCAGGCTGGCAAGGTTGCTGGTGAGGTTGGATCCTACAGGCAGAGCACCAAGCAGGAGCTCCGGCAGTGCAGCTTCGTCCCGGCTGGCAGGTGGGGCCTGGGGCTCCTCAGCCCCTGGCAGGGAACGGTACATCATGCTGGGCATGCCAATGCTAGTGTCGTCCTCGTCATCCAGGCCAGCAGGATCCACATTAATGGAAGGGAAGTCTGGAAGATCTCTGGCAAAGGATTCCTCTGGATCACTGTGACCATCTAGTTCTGGTAGAATACAGAGGTGTCTGAGTCGTGGCACCTACCTGGCCCTCCTGTGCTCCAGCCCCGTATGACTAGATTTTTCCCACCCTGGCTTTCTCAGGGAGAAATAAACCCATGAGACTAGTTTCACTTTCCCCTTCACTTATAGATGGCTGTGATCTCTACCGGCCACACAATTCCCCCTCTCTTCCTCTATGTCCCCTGTGAGGCTAGAGCCTGAGGCTACTAAAGAACTAAAGGCTTCCAGAAGGGCAGCACTGCCATCCTGGCTGTCATCACAGCCCTCAGGCTGTTCTGCCGCCTGATCCACAGCACAGAAAACAGGAGAGGAGGGGCCACCAGTATCTCCTCTGTTCAGGGAAGCTAAGAGGCAACAGAGCCATTATCAACTGAGGTCAAAGGCTCCCCTCACCTTCAGAGCCTTCTGTTAGAGGTGTCTGGCCTCTTGAAAGATTGAATGTACCATTGTCTGTACAGGAGACTTCGGCGTCTGAGTGCTCAGAGTCTGTAATGGCCAATTCCCTGGCAACAGTAGAATCATCCAGCTTAGGAAAAGAAAAGACCAACAAACCTGAGATAATGCCAT